TACTTCCTTGCCTTTCCACTAGCCCAGACACACACACACGCACACACACACATACACACACACACACCAGATTTTTCCAAGTGTATCCTGTACTCTTAAGCTACATTCAGAGCTGCAGTGACACATGCAGGAAAGAGAAGGGGATTTTGTAGAACCTCTTTTCTTCTCTTTGGATCAAACTTAAGTCAGTGGTTTTCTGTAACTTGTATCTAGGATCACTGTGAATTTACTTCTGTACCAGATACTCTTTAAGCTCCATAGACTTTTCTTAATGCTTTTTTAAGGAAAAAGACAATGAATCCATAATGATTATCAAAGTCTTCACCAAGGCAAGGGGAACAATTAGTGTTACTTCTGTGCTGGAAAAATTTCTGCCAATCTTGAAAGTATCTCCTGACTTACGACTAAGATCAGATATGAGCTTATCTATAAGAAGAGAAACTTATAAACTATGGCTCAGCTTTAAATATCACTTCTCTTGAGTATAGTAGTAAACAGGTCACATCAGACAAAGGGAGGCTCTCTGGTAACACATGCCAGGGCTATCATAGCCCAGACCTTTGGTTCTTATGTGTATTTAAGTGCAACCAGGACTGTGGTAAATTTTTTGGCTGTAGAATAGAATACTGGGATCCCTAGTTAGGATACCCAGATTATATGGAACACTTCTTATTTGAAGTTCTGCTAAATTAAATGTGTCTTGAAACTCATGAGTCCAAAGAATTTATATTCCTCTCAGATAGATTTACTACATAAGTATCTGGCACTGGAGCATGAAGAACAATGAAAAATGGTGCTGAGTGTTGGAGGGAATTTTTAGATGTGAAAGGCTTGATTCTCACAGTCCTATGCTCTGTATGAAACAAGTATCTTACAGTTTTCTACTCACCAAAGGCCTTCATTTAAACCAAGAACACTAACCTACTTTGGAGAGAAACTATTCCAGTTAGAAGAGTGAGAGAGCACTTATATGGGGGAAGAGAACGGATTCAGAAGAGGCAAAAGAAAATGGAACACAGCCAAAGGAACCTGAAGATAGTTTCTATGTCAGCATAAGGCATGCCATCAAAAGATGTAGAGGAGTTTGATCTGGAAGCTCATGGAACTTCCAAAGAAGTAGAGAAAGCAGTGAGGAGACCATCTAAGGAAGAGAGAAGGTGTGTAGATACCATCTTGTCATTGTTTGTCCATCCCTACTTAGGAAGTTCCCAGTATGGCCCCTATTTTTATTCCATAAGCAAATGTGTTTCCACCATCCAGAAATCTGTTATGGAGCTTTGAAACATAAGAGTCTAGAGGAATAGAAGCATGAAGTATCCAAAGAAATCCAACAGAGAAAATATCAGATGACTCAAATTTTTCTCAACATTATGAAGAGACATCCAGAATCTGTCCTTATGCAAATATCACATACTGCTTAAGGCACTACATGGTCTTAAACAAACAAACAAAAAAACTACAGCCTGACTCCAAGATGCCAAATCTCTCCAGACATTGCTGGAGTCACAAAAATGTGGGAATTTTTATTAAGATTGTTGTTATTGTTGTTGTTGTTGATGATGATGATATGGCTATGGAAGAAAATAGCCCACAATAATAAAGTTTAAAATGTGCCTTTTTAAACAGACACTTATGTAACATTCGAGGTAAAGGGAAAGAGGAAAAAGACTACAAGGAAAAGCTGAGGAAAAAAGGACTTCTCTTCAGAGTGACTTTGTCTGGCCCTGTCATTTTATGAGCATCATGATCATTAACCATTTATTGAATAGTAGCTACATGACTGTTTTTAACCCAACACTTAACCAAAATGTTCTAAATAATTTAATCCTTAAAATTGTCCTTTTAACTTTTTACTTTGTGTTTAGATAGTTACTGAAAGATGTAAGACTAGGAGAATACTGGAGGGATCAAATCCCCCATTAAAATGCCACTTCTGATGGCATCTAGGGTCCACTCAGATAATCTCAGAAAATCTAATTTCATTATCTGTAATGTAATCACCTCTGTTACTATTTAAGGTCATATTTATTTTGGGGGGGATATATGGTAATCGTCACACATTCTCCTGATTAGGGCATGGACATACCCTTTGGGGGCCACCATTCAATACACTACAATGGTCAATAAGCACATAAATTTAGGCCATTACAGGATGGCCTTATGAAGAAAACAGAGCAGGGACGAGGGATAAGAGAGTGACAGGGGATGCTATCTTTGATAAGGGAGGGCCTCTTTAATGAGGGACATTGGAGTAGAGACCTACTTGAAGTAGTTGGGAAAGAAGTCTTTCAGGCAGAGGAATGAGTAACACAAAGGCCCTAAAACTAGTTGTGTTTGAAGAGGGAGAACCGATGTTGTTAGAGTAGAAATGTAGTAGGAGATGGGTCAGAGGCAGAATTTGAATTTTATTCTGAGTAAAAAGGGAAGCCATTGGCTTGACAGTAGAGGAGTAATTAGTCTGATTTATACTACTGTGACTGATAGAGAATAAATAACAGGGAGAGGGCACTGAACTAGTGTGACCATTTAAGAAAGTACTGTGATACTCCAGGCAGGAGTAGGACTAGCGTAGTGGCTATGGAGATGGTGAGAAGTGATATGATTTGGGATATATTTTGAAGGTTGAGCCATTAGGATTTGCTGACTGAGTGGCTATATGTGAGAGTAATAGAAGAGTCAAGGATGATTTTAATGTTCTTTTTGTGTATGTGGCTGGAAGGATATAAGTCACCACCAAGTAAGAGTTAGAAGATGTGGTGGGGAGAAAAGCAGATTTGGGGATCAAGAATTCTGTTTTGGAATTGAAAAGCCCTTTAAACATTCAAGTAGAGATACTCTATAGTGATTTGGCTACAGGAATCTGGAGTTCGGGGTGAAAGACATATGTCTTGGCATCATTGGTGAATAGCTGGTATTTAAAATCACTGTGGAGTAAGTGTAAAATAGAAAAAGGACCAAGACCAAGACTGAGGAACTCTAAAATTAAGAAGTCAGGGCAATGTGGAGGAAATAAGAAACAGTTCTGGGAGTGAGTTAGTGAAGTAAAATCAAGAAAGTCTGCTGACCTGAAAACCAAAATAAGATGACTCAAGGAGGGAGTAGTCAACCATGTCAAAAGCTGCTGATAGATCAAGTAAGATGAGGATTGAGAATTTACCATTGAATTTATCAGTGGGCAGTCAATGGGAGTCGTGACAAGAACATTTTTGGTGGAGTGTGGGCACAAAATTCATCTAGAGTGAGCTCAGAAGGGAATTGGGAAAAAAAGAATGGTAGACAACTAATTTGGACAACTGCCATGAGTTTTCCTCTTAAGGGGAGGAGATAAATAAAGTAGTAGCTGGGGGAATTGTTTTTCAAAGATTGGAGGAATTGCTATAAGATAATAGCACGCTGATAGAAATGCTCCTATTGAGAGGCAAGAATTGATACTGCAGGCAAAAGAATGAGTACAAAAGGGAAGTGCTCAAGTAAGTGAGAGGAAACAGGGTCCAGTGCCTGAGTGGTCAGTCAGCTTTGGGCAGGAGTAGGACATGTCTTTCTTATAACAAAGGGGAACTCAGTATATGGTTGATCTGTTAGTGTGAAGATGAACATGTTTTTCTGAGGGCTTTTATTTTCCCTATGCAATGAAAGACAAGGTCATCAGCTGAGAATGAGGAGAATGGAGAAGGAACAAGTGTGAGAAGGTGTGGAACAACCTTCCTGAGAAAGTAAATTGTCAAGCACAGTGTTGAATTATCTAGTGAATTTTCTAGGACATCACTATCCGTAGAAATAGAATGCAAGCCGTGTATGGAATTTCAAACTTTCTAGCAGCCACCTTAAAAGGGTAAAATAAAACTGGTAAAATTATTTTTAATAATATATTTTATTTAACCAAATATGTTCAAAGTATTATCATTTCAGCATGTATCAGTATTAAAAAATGAGATCTTTTACATTCTTTTTTTTAGGATTAACTTCTTAAAAGCCAGTGTGCATTTTACATTTTCAAGCATATCTCAGTTCAGACGAGCCATATTCAAGTGCTCAATAGCCACACGTAGCCAATGGCTACCGTACTGGATATTGCAGGTCTAGGAAATGAAGTAGTACTAATGGATAATATGAGGGCCCCTTGAGATTGGGAGCCATGAATTGAAGTGAAATTTGCATGGCTGTGTGTTGTACTCAAGCTACATTCAGAACTCATATAGAGATGTGGAATAAGCAGAGAGTTGGTCTTGACCAGGAATGGAGTTTTGTCTGCAGCATTCAACCAAAGGAAAAGAGAAGGAGTTGGTGACATGTACAACCAAATGATCATACAAATTGAGCATAGCACATAAGCCACAGAAGTAAGAGGTGGGGGCAGTGTGAAAAGGTGATAAGGACAACAGAAGTTCTAGTAGAGTCAAGGAACTTTTAGAATTGTAGTTGTTATGCAATATACAAATATGTCTAAAATAATCCCTGCCCTCAGCAAGCTGATCTTGGTTGCAAGTATACCAGTAGCCTTGGTATAACATGGTATGTAATAATACCAGTATGAGTTCAGAGGAAGAAGAACCCATGTCCTACTAGGATGATCCAGGAGAGTGCAATGAGGAGGTAGTAGGTAAATCATGACTTAAAGTATGAAATAGGGTTTTAATTGGTCTATGGGAAACACATTGCAAAATGAGGAGGAAAAAACACAAGAACAGATAGAAAGAAGCAAAAATGTTTAATATCTCTTGGGGATGAGAGTAAAAAAAAAAAGCCTTAATGTTAATATTTATTTAGAGAGAGCTATTGACTACAATGGGGAAGGCAGCCTATAAATAATGATAGGTCTTTAGAGAACAGTCCTGGGATAATTTCCCCAGGGAAAGAAAGACTTCACTGTAAAATATGGTGACAGTCCCAGAATACAATGTTTCCTAGGAATGAGAGAACTAAGTACCAAAGACTGTTTCCAAGAAATAAATGCCCTTCTTTTCTGGCCCACCTCACCCTTATACACACACACACACACACACACACACACACACAGACACATACCTTTCATCTTTCATTTAGAATTCAGTCCCATAAATGTAATTCTCTTCTATGGAATGGTCAGTTACATCTAAAGAGAAGGAATATATTTACCTTTCATCATTATATCCTGGGATAAAATTTTGGAACCAACTAGGATTAGAATATGTGGAATTTAAAAGGCTTTGACTACTACTAACACTTTATTTTTTAAAAGCAGATCTACTCTCACCATACAGACCTAGTTTTTAATTCCTTCAGAAAATAAGCTGCACGTAGACAGTGTACTCTTTTTTTCTAAATCTGATGTCATTTCTATTAAACTTTTAAGGGAAAGGCAGCATTGCAATTTACTTTGGTTCTCAATACAGTCATCATTAAACAACAGGAAATTTAGTTTTTCCTAAGCATGTTCAGATCACTGGTGCAAAAAAAAAAGTTAGCCTCTCTTTTCCTAGCTCTAAATATTTAGGGAAACCTGCCAGGGTATCCACTCCCTCCTGTTTTTCACAAGAATTTCCTACTTCAATTGGAATATTTAGAAACAGTAAGAAGAGCTACATGTTTCCACATGAGACTTTAATAATACTATACTTTGTATTTACATATCATATATCCTTGGTACTTCATAGCTCATTATCATTGTAAATTTACAAATCAGTATATGAAAGCACAAGGCTTAGAAGCAATTCTTTTCCTGTCCAACAGTAAGTTATTAATGCCAGCATTGGAACTCATAATTACTGACACATGTGGTCCTACAACATCTAAAGATGATTTTCATAACATAAAATGAAATCCTCAGTAAGTAGAACATATCAATTGTCAAATATCCTATTTATTCAAGATAATTTTAAGAACCATGAAGCTTTAATCATATAACCATATATAAATAACCATATTAAATAACCATATTAAACCACATAGGCCTACATTAATATAAGTATAGATAAATATATCATTTGATCAAAACTAATACTTAATATGAATTAGTAAATATATACATATATAATCCAATCAGTTCCACAAAGTAGAATATATTTCAATCAAAAAGTAAGCAAATATCTCAACATACTTAAAAATGTGAACTACTGCTTTAAAAAATTTTCACCAACATGCTATAATCTAAAGGGTACAGACGCCATTGGTCAGACTGCTGTATATGTCATCAAGTCTCTCCTTGCTGGGGAGAAAAGTATCCATTGTCTGCTGATTCAATTAGGAACGTAAGATACCCAGTTCTCTTGGCAGTACCAGCTATGGTTTTAGTTCTGGTGTCTTGAACATCATATGTCTGGGAGATTCTGTAAGATCTGTCTCAAAGAAGCACAGGCTACCACGTGGGCATCTGAAGGAAGATTAGCAAGTGACTGAATCAGCTTCTTGACTATTGTCTTCAAACACTGGTGGGCAGCATTCAAATCTCTGTCAAACTGTTGTCCTTGAATTTGTAGAGCCAAATGACTGCAGATGTTTCTAAACTCAACACTATCCTGAAATAAACAGCAAACACAAGCAGTTAGATAGGTTATGGGGACATTTGTTGTGTTTTGTGTACCCAGCTTCCATTCCCATTTCTTCCCATCACAGGACCTCAATTATTTTCTGAGAGAACTACTGTCCTCCATTCTCAGCCTATGCGATTTGATCAAAGCTGACCCACCCACTCTACAACTCCAGGGACTAGGCCAGTCAGAGACTACCACCCCTCAATCACTTTGGATTGGTCAGGAATGGACCGGTGACCTAACACAGACCAATAAGCCACAGTTCTAGAATGTCTGTTAGACTGGGAAAGAGAAGCTCTCTTTAGCTGGGGCTTTTGGAAGGCATCCTGCCACCATAAGGGGAGAATCCAAATGAGAATGAAGCCAGCACTGAAAAAAAAAAAAAAAAAAAAGAAAGAACCAAGGGATTAAAAGAGATTGATTCTAATTACATTCTCTGAGCATATTGATCCAGCTATACTTGAAAAATAAACCCCAGGATTTTTTGGTTATCTGAGTCAATAAATATGCCTTTTTTACTTAAGCCATTTGGAGTTGAGTTTCTGTTATTTGTTCCTAACAGAGCTTTAAAGAATACACAAACAGCCTCTGTTCCTATTATTCCATACTCATAGTCTTCAAAATTCCAACACAGGATTTGGTATTTAATGAACACAGAGTCAAGAACTTTCCAACGCAAATTTAGAAAGAATAGTTCCCAGGTAGTTTAAAAGAACAAAATAACTAAATATATTTTAAATTCCTAAATGTTCCACATTCTAAAATCCATTGTATAGAAATGGTACACTAAAATTATTCCAATAAACAAACAAACAAACAAATGAAATTATTCCATATCAGAGATAGTGTTGAATATATAATTTATTTTAAATACATGTAAATGACTCTCCACAGACTTCCAGTTCTGGTAACATGGCACACTTAGTTTCCCCAAAACCCTTTGGGGAAACTGAATTCTAAATAAAATAGAGCAAACATCCTTTCTGATATTGCAAGAACACAGTGGAAATCCCTAAGGGCCAGAGATAAAGGAAAAGTAGATTATTTTAGCTGCCCACCAATATTCATCAAAAAAAGAAAGTTAATCTGGAGCTGGGTTTGGGGTAGAGGATAAACTTGCCCCAACAACGCATAACTGTTGACCTGTACTACACAACAGCTGAAGTTGGGAGCTGCCCTCTATACCATCCATATACATGTTCTGGGAACACTCATGCTAAGAAATTAATTTAAAAATTGGAACTGGGCTGAAATATCCATGGATACATGGTAAAAGGAAATAAAAGCCTGTTCCATGGGGACACATCCACAACCCATGCCCCACAGAAGTATTCCCATAATACTCTGTCAAAGACAAACTCAGAATATGAAATTTAACATATCCACCATGATACAGCAGATACTAATACAGGGCAGAATTTCCAAGTATTTCAGCTAGAAACTATAAAATCTGTTTAAAGTGATTAAAAATATAAAAGAAGGAATAAAACACTTTTTAAGTAAAAACAGGCTTGGAAAAGAACCAAATACATTTCCAGAAATAACAACTATTTTGACAAATTAAAAACTCAATAGACAATTTAAACACCTGAATACATTCGAACTGAGGAATAGTAAACTGGATGATGAATATGAGAAAATTACTCAGAATGTAAGATAAAAAGCCAGACATAGGAATTATGAATGGGAAGTTAAACAACATGGATGATAAATGATGAAGCCCAACAGATACGCTTCCAGGAGAAAGAGAGAGGTTGGGGGAGGAGAGGGGAGACAATATTTAAAGAGAATAATGAATAAGAATTATTCAAAATTGATCCAAAACATGAATCCAGGTTCACGAACATAAATTCAGGAAGTAAAATGAGATTCAAATCTAAACTTACTGAGGCAAAACTACTCTTAAAAGCAACCGGGGGGTGGGGGGGAAGACTGATGGCTTTCAAGGGATGACAAGACAAACTGCCAACTACTAAGCTACAATGACTGAAGTCAGAAAAGAATGGGATAATTTTTCAAATAATTGTTAACATAGAATTTTTTTTAATCCAACAAAACTATTAATTAAACATCAGGGCAAAATAAATATGCCTTCATTTAAAAGGACAATAGGCGTTACCACCCTCACTGTCATATTTTCCTAGAGATGTAATTCGGAAAGGGGACATTCAATTCAGAAGGAAAGAATGAGACACAAGAAGCAACAATGAACAAAGAAACTTAAAAATATGATGTAAATCTAAAGAATTGATTGTTCAAAACCAAAATTATAACAATTAACTTGGGACTTACAAAAGCAAGATGGTTCCAAAATGCTGAATAGTAGTAACATGTGGGATGGAGTGGCATTCTAAGGCATTGTACTATTTAGAAGAGTGGCAAAGTTGATAAATTTCAGACTTATTTCAGTATGCATGTGAGAAATGTAGGGGTTATCATTAAAGGACAGAAATAATATGTAAAACTTCAAAGTCAGCAGACAAAAGGAATATTAAAACTTAATTGATTCTATTTTTAGAAGGTAAAAATGAAGAAATATATAAACATAAATCAAGGGGAACAGAAAACACCAAATCAGACAACTTTTGAAATACAGTGGTTACCAGACTGGATTTTAAAAGATCTGTTGATAAGTTCTTTACAAGAAACACATTCAAAACTAAAAATACCTAAAGACTTAAAGTAAATGAATGCTAAAATATATACAAGGCAAAGAGAAGCCAAAACAAAGCCAGGAAAATCATTATTAAGGATAAAATAAGCTACAGTTAATAAAAGGAACCCCAAGAAGGTATAACAATTTTGTACTTTGTGTGTGCCTAATATGATTATCTTAATTTACATTCAATCCATAAACATAAAAAACTGATTTCTACCCAGCTTTCTGAGACACATAAATCAAACAACAAAATGATCAGCCTGGAGAGAAAAGACTGAAACACTAATCACAAGCTTGGCCCAATAAAGATAAGCAAATACAAATTTTCCCAAAGATATATGGAATATTTATGAAAGCTGACTGTATTATAATATGCCAAAAGTAAATTCTTAATGAATATCTAGAAGTCTATATCATACAGATCACAATGCAAATAAATGAGAAATCAGTAACATAACCTTCCCAATACATACATGACTTAAAAATCTACTTCCAAATAATTCATGGATCAGTGAAAAAATAATTGAAATTTTAAAATACTTTATACTGAACAATTATGGACATAATATATCACAAACTTGTGGGACACACCTGCATTGAGAAATTCATACACTTAATGCTATTTAAGTAAAGAATAATCACTGAAAAAGCATGAACTAAGAATTCAACTCAAGAACTTAGGAAAAGAAAAAACATAATCCAAAAGAAAATGAAAGAAAGAGCTAAAAGCTGAACTGAAGTTTTTTTGTTCTTTTAATTTTTTTAATTTTTTTTTATTTTTTAAATTTTATTGTTATTAGTCACCATAGAATACTGAACTGAAGTTTGAAACTAGAGTTTTCTTCCTAATTCTGTGTAGAAAGAGAAGCTATTCTTCTCCCTAACAAAAACTCTGTCACTTGGGTTAGAAGGACCCGGGTCTCTGGCAAAGTGTTTATTAGAGAACATCTTCTGGGAAACAAAACAAACTTTCATCTATTGAGTTTGGCCAACAATGGCAGCAGGACCCCAGTGTGAGTAAAGTGCTGGGATAGAAAGATCAACACAACACGCCATAGTTCCTTTACTCAAGTATTCACAGGCTACCATGCTTCTTGTTTTTTCTTCCTCTTTAAAGCATTCTAGCTTCCCCGCCTTTGCGTGTTGCTCATTTCTACTTAGAAGGTATCAAGGGGTGGGCGCCTGGGTGGCTCAGATGGTTAAGCGTCTGCCTTCGGCTCAGGTCATGATCTCAGGGTCCTGGGATCGAGTCCCGCATCGGGCTCCCTG